AGATCCCTCAGATGTTCAGGGTCTGAGGTTAATCTCTGCTGTCCCCGGAGTCCACTGGAGGAGGTACCGCTCTGAGCTGGGCTGTTTGTTTAGTCAAATCACAGCACAATGGGGGTCTCCTCTCCTGTCCCTCTTTCACACTGTGAAAAAAGTCGGCCCACCGCTCCTGAAGACTGCTTTAAGTATTTAAAAGAAGTGGAGACATGAACACACACGCACTCCGCTTCCCTGACACATTCACAAAGAGGAGAGTGTCAGTGGTCCGGCTCTGTTGAAGCTAGAGTAAGAGAGAGTTGGAGAGGGAGAGGAGGGAGGGAAATGTGAGGGGGGGGGAGTTGAGCGAAAAGCAAAAGAGGGAAGAGAAAAGAGAGAGGGAGAAAACTCCAAAATACAGATCAGAATTCAGCTTGTTGTCGCTCTGTGGCAGCTGAGAGGTCCTGAGCTGGACTGATTTGTTTATGAATGGAGAGGTGGACTGAGACTGTCTCTATTGGCAACAGCAATCTGGACCGCATCTAACCCCTCCATAAAACAACAAACACACTAAAGAAAAAGAGTGAGAGGTTTAAGCGGAGGGGAAAAAAAGACTTTGGCAAGGCTCACGGTGGCCTGCTTTGGAAACAAACATTGAAGTCTCAGTTTCTCAGGAACATACTCCACTTGCATAAACTGTGGTGTCAGGTGTGAATGAGGTCAAATGCACTTAATCAGGAGTGAGCCCAATTTTCTTACATGTCACATCTTATTTTCTGTCTTTTTCCATCTTTCTCCTTTTATCCCACATAAACTGATTCAACACCTCCCTCTGTCCTCACTACCTTCTGTCTCTTTTCTCTGCTCTGTCAGCCTCTCTCTTTCACACACACACACACACACACACACACACACACACACACACACACACACACACACACACACACACACACACACACACACACACACACACACACACACACACACACACACACACACACACACACACACACACACACACACACCATTCAAAATCCACATTGGCTCTCTCCCTAATTTTGTCCTTTCCCAGGATATGGTTTGAAATTCATAACGCAACACTGGAGCTGATGAAGGTCTTTTCTTTTAACAAGGGGCCAGGGCAGACAGAGAAGGGGGGCGGGGCTAATTGGACAGTAAACATGTTCTCCTCTAATTGTGAGGGTAAATCTAAAAGCCGATCTAGCAGTAATTAAAGAGCCAGTGTAGCCCTGGTTATTAAAGAGGAGGGGAACAACCCCACACAGGACTGTCCCTCCTCTACTTCCATCTATTTCGATCTTTGTAATTAACACTTTCTTGCTGTAAATCTGCCCTAACTCCATGTAATTTAGCCCGTGAATCTACTGTTGTATGTTTTAGTGCTGGCAATGTCAATTAAAAAAGGATAATATGTAATAATGCAACATGCATAACGCTCGTTCTAATTATGCAAATACTTCTCAACAGAAAATCCCCCAGGTTAAGATAAGACACAGACTTTATCTCAACATCCTGCTGCTCATGATAACCAGAGGCCTAACAGGAATTGAAGGGTTTTAGAGATGAACAAAATTGTGGCTTATTAGACAAAATCGTACTCATTTTAAAAGTGCTGTAACAGTGGCAGCTGTCCTTATCTGTTCATACAGCTTGAAAAATTTGAAAAACCACTCAACAAACTCGACTCCCAATCATTGTGCCGCAACAATAGCCAGTCTATTCAGTCTAGAGGAACAGCTAAAGAGTTGTCTCTCTCAAAGCTGATCTGGAGTGTTGCCATTGCAAAGTCATAACGAGTGCAACCAACTGTTTGTCTGCTCTTTATCTGTGTTTTGCTGGATTTCAGGAAAACGCTTAAAAATGATCTCTCTGTGTGTTTGACAGGCAGGGATCCCTGAAGGCCCATGGGAGGGGGTGGTAAAAAATAGGAAACCCTTGGGCTGATATCTGAAATAACTGCATTTTAAAATGAAAGTAAGAGGAATAGCCGATGAACATACTAGCAAACTAGCCCATACTTTTGCGACAGATGTTTAATGATAACACCTGTTTGACAGGCTGAGCTCAACAGTCAAATCAGGAGGAGAATCTCAATTTAGATCTTAATAATGGCTGGTTAGAGGATCAGCCATGGATGAGCTGAAGGCCTCCACGAAGAAGGGCGAGGACTTTGTGGCTAAAATGAAGTGAAATGAGTCATGAAGTTACTGGAACAGAAAAAAGCAGGAGCTGTTTGTTAATTATTCAGCAACTTTTTTTGTGATTCATTTCAAAATACCTGTAAGCACTTCTACAGGGGAAATGACCAAATACCCCTCTGTTCTTCTCTACTATAAATATAATTTGCTTATGTAGAGTAAACTGGCTAAACTTGTTTTTTCTTTTGTTAAAACATGACGAGAAACTTTATTACTTAGACTTGAGGAAAATATGATGCATGTCGTTTCATTCTCCTCTCTGCCCTAATGTCCTGTTAGCTCTCCGTTGCTACAGTCTAATAAAGGTCAATGAAAAGGAAACTGACCTTATTGGGTTCAAGAACTTGTACAAAGAGAACTGTATTTAGTCAATCAAGACGAGCACAGTCCCCAAAGTCATTACTTAAAGCTAAATGTGTATGTTCCATGTTAATAAAACAAATCCAAATGCAGACAGACTGGCTAAGTTTACACAACAACACACTCTGTGATCCAATAAGAAAACTGAAACTAAGCTGATGAGTTGTCCTTCTCTATATTTTTTGTTTATCATGACATCATGCCAAATGCAGTTGTTGTTTAGACAGGCCTTTCGTGGACTGTCTTCAGTCTCAGAGAAAAGATGGCGGCGGAAGATAAAAGCTCTGGGAGTGCGCCGCACCTACAGCTCACTTTCTAACATATGTTAACTTTTGGAATTGATGACAAGTGGGAACTAGCCTCTTTTTAGTTTCCTCTTGTGAACTTGGAATTTTGTACATCTTCAAGGAAATCAAGGAATTATTCAATTCTAACTGTACCCTTAATTTGAACAAATATACAGCCTGGGCTTTTCAGTTCTGGCACACAGCAACAGGTGCTTTAAATTGAATCTTTAGAGATCTTATCTGAGCAGAGCATGTTTAGGGACATAGGCTATTTGGTGCCATTTGAGCAGGATTTCAAGCACAGACAAATTACACAATTCAGGCCTTAGCAAATAAAGACATGTATACTGCAAGGGATAATACCAAGTTCATTGTTTGTTTTTTTCAATAACAATTTTATTGAAAGTTTCAAACCATATAACAGTTAGAAGACATGTACAAAGACACAACCAAAAGGACTAAAATCAACCACTACAAACAAACCAAAACAGAAAATAAAGCAAATGAAGTAGGACATAAAATACCCCATTTAGCACTGCACTAATCCCATTTTTTATGTATCATACAAGTTATTGTACAATCATCTCCTCTTACAAACTGTAAGTGTGTTGTGTTGCACTTTCTGTGAACCTTTTTTCTCCATTAACAAGACCATCTTGTGCTAACAACCATTAGCTGTTAAGGCTGATAATGACTTTTCTGACAAGATACCAACATGAATCTTTTATGTATTTTTGTTAGAGGCAGATGCATAAGAACCATCAGACAAGCTCAACCAGTGACATACACAGAGCTCCACAGCAGCATATTTTGAGTTTATCAAGTAAATGTGGAGAAGGCATACAGTCAGTAATAGTCAAGATTTTAATAATAACCTTATCCTTAGGTATTCCTGAAGGTCTGCAGGCATGAACTCACTGCTTCTTTCAGTGTTTTGCTGCCCTCATGTGGTTATCTTAAGCAGGTATGTTGTAGAAAATAAATAGTCACCTGTGACATGCCTTCAAACTTGACTTGACTGGTCTAATCTTGCCACAAAGCCACAAAATGGTTGAAGACTTCACATTACACAAAGTATTTACAATTGTTTTTCTTCAAACATAATATAATAAGGGGAGCCAGATAGCCTAGCGGTTATGTCATGTGTCTATAGTCCTCGTCACAGCAGGATTGAATCTGATCTCAGCTCTTTGCTGCATGTAATCCCCCGCTCTATACAATAAGCTAATACTTTTGTTGTTTTTCCAAAGAACTTCCCTTTGCTTCTAATGTTTTCCTGATAATGCAGAAGAAATACTTCTGCATCATCATCACCACCACCACCACCCCAACTGACAAAGCCACAGCTTTTTTCTCAAGTGCAAGTGTGAAAGTATGATTCTGAATCCGGCTATCGTTTAACTGTCAATTTCATCACTCTTTGTAAAGCTTTGTAGTGGAAAAAGTTTTTTAAAAAGGCTGTCGCTGCAGCATGCTGTAACTCACTTATCAGACACCTACCCTGCAGTAGTTTCAGGCATTTAAAATATAAACAATCTTGTCACGCATGGTCTCCTTTGCTTTTGCAGCTCATAGAGGCATCAGTACTCATTTCAACCTGTTTTTATAACCAGCTACTCCTCAAAGTAACTTTAAATTCTCATTTAAAAAAAACATAATTTTAAACTGCTATATTTATCTGATAGCTACAGTTGCTAATTACACAATTGGCTTAAAGTGAGCTAAAGCGAAATAACAAATGTTTTTGGAAAAGGTGAGTCTATACTGACGAAGGACTTTTGACCTCATTAGATTTGCAGTGGGTGCAACACCATATACTTTCACTTTTAATTTAATCCATTGATGCCTCTTATCTTTATGTAGGCTATTGCTTTAAGTTTGAATATGGTCTACATTGTGGATTTTCTTTTCTTTTTCTAATGAAACTTCTGCCACTGAGCATACTCTTATTTGGCTTTATGATCTTATGTGCTGGATGTCACATGAGCTTTGTAAGAGCACATTATGATGGCCTTATCAAAATGATTCACAAAGTCAAGCTACTTACATCAGGGTCAATGCCCGCACGTCGCCAAGACGAGCAGGCAGGTCGGTCTCAGGTAAAACATGACGTCATGATGATACTTTTGAACTCTCGAGCAGTAAATCTATAAAGGCGTGTAGTCGCACTGCTCAGGTAGCCGGTAAGTAATAAGCCAGGACCTTGAGCTGAAGTGAAAACATAGGACGAGAGAGCTTGCAGGGAATAAACACTGAGGCCTAACATGCGCCAGGCGGTTTGATTCACCAAGGTTTACCTGAGAGTCACCCCTACCTGTGGGCCGAGGAAGCCGGAATGTACTCCAACTCACAGACGGCCAGGCTCCCGGCTCAGACACTGTCACTGAACAGTCAGTACATCTCAACTCCGTATGACTTCACCGGTTACCATCACGTCCCGGGAGTCGGTGAGCCGACGACAGGTGCATGGAACCCCATGTACACTCCCCGGGAGGAGTATCCCTACAGCTTCCCGGGGTCAAGCCCCAGCTTCGGCCAGGTCAACTTCTCTTCCTCTGAGTTAAACGGCACGCCCACCCCCGCTGGTGGGGGGTCGTCCAACCCGTACAACTTCATTTCCGGACAGGACCCCTTCAGCTCCAAGAGGAGACCCCAAGACTCCATCAGACCGCCCGTTTCAGGTGGGAAATACAGTGTCCACATATTAACCTTTTAAAGTAGGCTTTAAAGTAGTATGTTTGATTTGATTGCATTTTCTGTACCCAATAAATAGCCTATGATACAGTTTATACAGGCTCACAGTTTTCACAAAACTCTAGAGAGTTTCTAGAAATGTCAAGTTACAATTGTTTTTGTCCCAATACCAAGTGTCTTTTGAGCCCTAAATGTTTGGAAAATTCCAAAAATTAAAATACTCCGCCTGACATTGTGGGGTAACCCTGATTGCAATACATTTCCCTCTATTACCAAATGTTTTGTTTGTTATTGTCCCGTAATAAATCACCTTTGATTTCCATGTTAAAATTTTGGGCAGTTATGAATTAATGCTTTCAAATCAAGAATTGAAAAGCCACCTGCTTTAATTACAATCGGAGGCAAATATGCTCCTGATAGGCCTACTATATTGGAACTACTGTAGATGTTTGAGCACACATGTTCTTGTAAATTTAATATGCTGAGAGCAAATTGGATGATTTACATTTCAAGTCAGTGGAGTCTAGATAAAACTTACACTATATTATTAAGGATGAAACTAACAGCGTACATTAAGAGTCCTCGGTGGGGGCAAAGGACAATTTAATTCCATTGCTCTTCGTGGCTGCTCAGATAACACAAACAGAAACCATTTCAACATATACACAGAGTAGACTGACTGTACACACACACACATTCATCAAGCTTTAGCCTCTCCCTTCCGCCAGCAAGGTGCAAGATGTCAATGCAAAGCTAACAGTGGAGGCCATGAAGTCTGCAAAAATGTCCCTCCCCACCCTCTCTGTCCACTGGGTGGGTGCTAAAGGGTGACAGGCTAGATAACACCGGCACTACAGGAAGTCTGCTCAAGTCAAACTGAACTTCAGCTGAAGGCGAACGCTCAGGGTTTACTCATGTCTGTGTGCGAGTGTGTTAGTTTGCCTTAATCAATGCTGTCACAAAGACATGATGTCAAATCAATAACTCTGACTCACCCTTACCAAAGTGTTTGTGTGAGCATGCATGTCAATGAAAGCCTGTGTAAACACCTATGTAAACACCACTTACAGTGATAAGGAGGACCAGTGATGCAATGCAGTGGGAAGTCTTTAAATAAGTTAGAGTTAGCGTGATTAATAGATTTGATGAGGCTTTAAGTGGCGCCTGAACCTAAATGTGGAACCAGACGTCTTAAAATGAGTCATGTTTTGCCACAGTTCTTGGTACAGAAATGATTCACAGAAATAAGGATCATTTTTGTTTGTATTTCTGGTCAGATTGAAGACACAAAAGACATGGGAATAGATAAAGCAATCACAAAGTCAGTCAATCGTCTCCACTTGTATGAGTTGTTTTGCTTATTCCGGATTGTTTTGTGTGATTCAGTAGGAAAGACTCGCACTCACGACAAGTATAGGGTGGTGTACACTGATCAGCAGCGCCTGGAGCTGGAAAAGGAGTTTCAGCACAACCGCTACATCACCATGAGGAGGAAGAGTGAGCTGTCAATGGCACTGAGCCTCTCTGAGAGACAGGTGAGCCCAGGAGCACACAGAAACGTAGAGGTAAAACGGAAAGGGCTGGAGAATGAGGGAGACAAAGCATGGGAAGGTGCAATGCAGGCATTTAACTTTAAAACAGAGGAGTGACTGAGAAGGGATAAAAAATCAAGTCCACATGGGATTCTCAGCAAGAGCAGCAGGCTAGCATAGCAGGATGCATTGAGGAACAGCATTTATAGGTCATTCACATTTTGCCCGCTCAATGTTAGATACAAATATAAAACACAATACTGAAGACTTGAAGCATAAAAACACACTTTAATGATACTGCCAGCTTAAAGAGAATATTAGACTGACAGTTATAAACATAGTGTAGACATGTGGCTATGGTCTTCCTATAGAGGAAGAGCTTTAAGCCCCAGTAAAATCTGGAGATAGTGGAGATATTGTTTTTAAATCTAACTTTGTAACTTGTAATTGAGGGATAGCAGTAAATGCACCATAAACCCAAAGGTGATATGACTTCGCAAGTTGGTGATAGTTATGACATCAAACATTTCACTTTTAAGGAAAATGTTTTTTTTAATCTTTTCTTTTTTTTAAGTTGCATGGTCCCAAATTTACAACTGCACCGAGAAAACGAGGAATTGCTCAGAAATAGTTCAAGAAACAATTAAACAGAGTACCTTGTTTTGAGGGATGATTGACAGTGTTAGGAAAGGTGAAACAGGATTTATTAATCAGACACACACAGTATCTTTTTGCAGTAGATCCTTCTTGTTTAATGATCCTTTTTGTTAATGTGAGTTGGGGTTGGAGTCTTGGTAAAGTGTGGGAGTTTAAAAAAGGATTCACTTGTGTTTTATCATGTGAGTGTTATTGTTTTTCAGGCTAAGGGCTAAAACATTATAAATAATATATTGGTATTGGTCTCTGGAGTTGCTTGGTGCAGATTAAAGTGACCTCATTTATGTTAAGATTTATTTTTGGGCTTTTGCCTTTATTCAGATATGATAGTGGAGGTAGGAAATCAGGGAAAGAGAGTGGGGAATGACATGCAGGAAAGGAGTCGCAGGTCGAACTTGAACCCGGGCTGCCCACTAGGAGTACTATAGTCTTACATGGGGCTTGCAAACCGCTTTGCTATCATCATGTTAAGTTAGAACTAATCAGAAATTTCTTCAACATAACAGTTTGGAGAAAACAGCTTTCAACTAAACTGCAGAAAACCTATAAACAAGCAATAATGTTATGTGGCCAGACCAACTGTCTTGCATAAGTGGTGTTAATGGTGAAACCCTCAATCCTTCTCTCTTGTTACCATTGTTGTTGTTGTTTTTTCTGCCTGATCATTCTGTCTGTCAAACCCACAGTTGAGAGCAACCAAGGGAAAGGCGGAAATTGCGGATTGCGTATAACGAAGTACGTGAGAGAGGGCGATCACAAAAAAGCTAAATCATTGCAGTTCATCATCCAGTGGAGATAACAGGCTTGACAATGAAAAAATAGATTGCAAAACATGTTCTGCAAGAGAGAGGTCCCTACCATACGCCCTGTGCAAAGTATCTTGGCCTGCAGCACAGGTGTCTTTCCTATTTTCAACCTGATTCACACCCAGTAGCCACACTGTTTGATTGGCAAATGAACTTGCAGCCCCGTTAGTGCCCAGCGGTTGGGTTGCTTGAGGTGAGGTGAGGTGATGTGTGGTCCGGTGCAAGGTGAGGACTGCGTCCTATCTTGAGGACGCGGAAATCAAATGCACCTTGGACCACCTAAAATCTGGTCTAAAGTCTGTGGCACAGTATGTTCCTGCTTTTAGAGGATGCATTAAAAAAGCTGGGCAGACATCAGCGAGTTTATAACCCAAGTTATAGCATCACAACAGCACACCTACTCCACAGTGTGTTGTCAGTGCATTTGCCGAAACCATTCAAATTGAGTTTTTAATGGGAAGGAGAGAGACGACAACCAACACTGAGTTCTAATCTGTGTGGGCTGGCTCCAACAGTGCTCTGTCTAATATAGCTGAGAAAATAAGTAAATAAATGTTTACGGCCCATGTTGACACCTCCCAGAACATAAGTTAACGTAGGTCCTGTCTGATTCTGTCGGCATGTCTGGAAATGAAGTTACGCTTTTGTGTCTCATGCAGCTCTCTTAATTTGAAAAGGCAATGATAGTTTTTGAAGTTGTGGGAAAGCTTAAAGGAAGAATATGCAACTTTTTGATCCAGTAGCAGTGTTTCCCCTACCATTATATTAGGGGGATATTTTGCTCGTATCTTCACACTGCATGAAAAGACCGTGATCTAAAAACGCTTACGGGACATTCAAATAAGCAGTGAGTACTGTTGAATGTTATTCTTCTTTTCTCTAGTCCCTCAATTAAACAACTTTTATACGCAAGGTGATGAGCCGGCCGGCCATCCCAACGATGTAAACACACTGTAGATACGGCTCAGACAGCGGGACTCGGGTGTCACACTCATCGTAGACAGTCATGACTCACAGAGTTATTTTCAGAGGATGTACTGGTTTCTGCTGTATTTATGCGTAAAATGTTGCATATTCAGCCTTTTCATACAGTGGCGTGTGAGTGATGTATGTGTTCAAGGTCACAGTAAAAGGAGAAAAGGTCAAATGAGCTGGCCGGAATTTGGTCTTTCTAAGAATAAACTCTGAAACTCGATGTGCAAATAATTACGAGCCAGCTTGCAGGCACACCTGACTCTGGAATGAGAGCTGACGCTATGATTGGTTTGAGTGATATTAGTTGCCACAACACACCTATGTATAATCAAGCAATTTAATCCAACCTCATTGTGTTGATACTACGTGTTTGGATGTTTCAGGTGAAGATCTGGTTTCAGAACAGACGTGCAAAAGAGAGGAAGGTAACCAGGAAGAAGCTGCAGCACTCCCAGCAGGCCTCTACCACTACACCCACCCCACCTGTGCTGGGTGGACCAGCTGACACCCACATCCCCACCAGCCCCAGCAGCAACATTTTGTCTGACACAGTGCCAGAAGAATACTAGCTGGATTTCACATTGCACAGATTCTGCAAGAAAGATGTACATAGTGTGTGTTTTGTTTGCCACAGAATTAATAAGAGAATGCTGCACTTCCCTACCTTTAAAAATAACAAGCACTTCATATCAGTTGCATTGATCATTCCCACTAAACATTTGCCAGGCATAAAAATGTAAATATGGATCATTATCAGCACCAAGACACTGATTTTAAAGACCAAGAATTACTGGATAACTTGTCACTTGTTAAATCTTTGTGCCGTCTTTCACAATTTCTGGTGAAAGTTCAAATTTAGAAGTTCCTCTGTCTTTAATGTACAGAGATTTTGAAATCCAACTGAATTTTTGTTCACAGCATAAGACTGCAAATGATATTGCATCTGGTCAATTAATAAGAATTAGGATAGGATACGTGTATGTGTGTTTTTTTTGTGTCTATTTTTTCTAGGTGTTTCAAATTAAGGAAGTCAAAAACAAACTTTTATAACAAACAGTTAAACAACAATTTAATGTTCCCTATGTGGAATTATGTTGATGCAGTTTACTGTTTACTTTCAAAAGTAAAGACTGGTGAGTTTCAGATTAGAGAGAGGAAGGCAGCAGTTATATGGAAGGCTTGAATGCAAAAAAAAAAAAAAAAAGAAGTTAAAAATAAGGAAGTGCAAGTCATGGGACTCTGACCTGAAAACAAATGCTTTGGTTTTTGCTTTTATTTGTCAACAGCTTTATAACCAGGCATGAAAATGAAGTGACAACTCATGTTTTTTTTTATTTGCTTTAGATATAATGTCTTTATCATTTCTTTTTTTAAATAGGACTGAGAGAAATGTGCTTTAAAAAGACTCTGGAATAAGACATTCAGACAAAGTCACATCCTGTAAAAATGGCCACAGTCATTGTTCTGCTAAACACACACATATCTGAAGAGAAATCAGTCTCTGCTCCTCTAGTCCTCTGAGTCTATAGTACTGTAAGTAATGTATGCACTGTTAAAGTATGTTCACTACAGAGTGTTCACAGATTGTTTTAGATTGTTCCTTTTTGAGGCTCACAAAAGTGGAAGGAAAAATGATAATTTTAGCTATGTAAATTTAGTCTTATCATAGCTGGTTGAGCAAGGCAAAAACACAGCAATTTTCAAAATAAACCACTGTCTAGACCAGCATGTATGCGCAACTCCTGTTTTCTACCAGTCTTTTGTGCAATTAAAAAGTTTTCCTTTTCTCCCTATTTTTTTTGCTTTTAACTCTTTTAATTTAAACAAAGTGTTTTTGTTTTATAAAATGCTAACGCTGATGTTCATGTGGGTTTAGATGCACATTATGAAGCATGCTCTTTCTCTTCATCAGCACTTTCTTTACCACACCGTCTGTTGGTCTAAATATATTTTGATGTTCTCTGAACCACAACCGCTTAAAGCAATTTCACACACAAAGGCATCGTGACAAGCTCACTCTGCTGAAGATGAATGAGTCATAATATTAATCTTTATATGCCCACAAAACTATCTGATAAATACATGAATTTAATGAGAGGATGACCTGAGATTATCTTTGTCTTGTACTTTTACATCATGTCATTTAAATGTATTCCAGCCCATACCTTCTGACAAATATTTTCACAGAAACTTTCATATCCTCTTCCCTTCACACTGACCAACAGCAAACAGTTTCATATTATACTGAATGAATTATTTTCTAAATTCAGACTCAAACTTTTCTCACCTCTACACAAAATTATAACAAGAAACATGAGGGGGTTTTCTTCACTCAAGAATGAGTCACCTGTTATATTTTATAGTTTAATACCTTTGGCATGGTAACTTAACATCACCTGAATTTGTCACGACAATGTCAAAATCACCTGTTTTTTATGAGGGGGAAAATAAATGTTTAATTTGGGTTTAACCAAACTTATCAAAAGCTGAGGTTCAACAGTCTAAACGATGTTTTATCTATAGAGGCTACGATAATAATGAACTATTTAAAACCAGTACCAGTTTTGTATTGAATGGAATGCTACTGGCCGACTGATCATTCAGTAAAAAGATTTTTTGAGCAGCTTTAATAAACTACTCCTGTGTGGTTAATCATTTTCTCAGTGGATCATGTTGGTCAGAAGTTCAAATGTGTTTCAACAAGAAGGCTGGAATACAAAAAAGACAATCTAAGGTGGTTGTTTAAGGACAGCACAACCGTCATGAGCCATAAACACTGTTTTTATTGCTCTATGTGCGAGCTGAATGGTTGTCCGTGGTTGTCAACCTTTAACTAGGAGCTATCAAACCAAAACCAATCATCTCAACTTTGTCTTTGTTTAAACAAATAAAAGCACACGGTGTCAAAAAACAAAAAGAATCACCAAATCAGCATTACTTTAATATATTTCACTTAAACATAAGTCACAGAGCTCTAAAATAAGGTCACAAACTTAATCACACATGGCTTATGTGAGATTATTGAACCAAATGTGATAATACAAACAGAAACCAAAAGATGCCAGGCCTGAGATCAAAGGTTTTGCCAAACACTGTTTGACCCAGAACACACCCAAACAGCAAAATAATGTTGACAGACAGAACTGAGCTTTTACCCGCATGTGATTAAAGCTTTCTAAAAGATATTTCTCTGAAATGTATACATGTGTTGCTTTTGACATTGACCTGTTTTGCATGTTAACATGTTCAGTGCGCATAAAAAGGCTAACTCCATTGTGATCTCTTTCAAGTCGTTCTCCGATGCATATGTTTGGTACACTCTAAAAGGAAACCACAAAGTCATAGGAAATGCGTCAATCTAAAAATAGAAAAGATAACTTGATGGAGCTGAAAGATAAAGATGTGACAAGCTTTTAGGTTCAATATGACTTGATCTACATGTGGCTGAATTTTCTTAATTTTTCATACCACATTAGTCACTCTCAGTTTTCCTCCTTCTTCACTAAAGTTGAAAAATGTGACGCTCCTTCCTTCTTATTAATAAAACATTTCTCCTTTGTTTCAAACTCACCTCTCAAACACTTTTAGATAAAGCTGATGTGTGATCATTTAAAATGTTATAATTTACTATAATCTAACATAAAAAGGCTGCATCATATTTACGTCTGCAACAAATAAAAATACTTTTGTTATACATCAAGAGGCACAATTAAAATACATAATACGTGCCTTAAAAGACTATTTCACAGATAAATGACACAAACTGAACTGATTTTGAAATACTGAAAACCAGCGCCTGAGAAAAAGCAGAAGTGTGGACATCATGGAAACAAATTTGTGTTCACTGTGAACTTCTGAAAAGACGAGACATTTCTTAACAAGCTTTTTGGGGGCTACAGAGACAAAGGTAAACAGCACAGTACAATCCAACCCTCAACCGACCCATTTACATCTTTTAAAAGAGTTTAAGAACATACAAAATATCATTTTGACGTTTGTAAAAGAAGCCATGGTATATTACATGTAAACGCACATTTAAGACAGTCTTACACAAAAATGTAATAAAATACGTAATGTAAAGTATGCTTTGTTAATATGTGCATTTTCACTGCAAGTTTACAGGATTTTAACGATGAAATAATAGTAAATATGCTCATAAATTAAACCTAGTAAACGCAAGAAAGTACAACATATTATTCTTAATATAAAGAGAGAAGGTGTAAGTTGTGGAGCATTGAAAATATATAACCATTATAAAGTTCATAAAAAGAAGTATATAAAAGCTAGCAACACTATTCAATGGAGATAAGTATTTAACCATAAGTACAGTAAAAAATATGAAAATGTTGAGAATCTATGGCTACTAATGGCCATAAATGTGTCCTATATGAAGTCACATAAAATGATTGTGAATGACCTTAAGCCAACAAACATCTCCTCTGTCAGAAGACAGTGGTGCAGTCTTTGTGAATCACCTGCCTTTGCGAACCTTTGCATACACACAGTCATCTCTTGATGGTTCAACAGTCTGCCGAGGTCGCTCTGAAAACTTGACCTGGCCGTACTCCACCTCCATCTCTGCCCTTTGCTGCATCGGCTTCCCCTCCCTCGCCTGCCGCTGCACAATCCTGACATCTGCATAGGTTAAATCCTGTTCTTCATCTTCTTCTGCACAGAAAAATAAATAGTATGCACAATCAAATTTTGTCATGTTTGATTACAAAAGAATTACATTCAAACTTTTGGTGATACACTGTTTGCTTTTAGCTGAAGGTTTGTTGGGTAGATTGGTATAACTGTCTAGCTTGTTATGGGGCGCCGATTGTAAAGTTGCGCACACTACAAATAACAACAACATTTCTCCACATTTAGCCCAAAAACATCACTTTTTATTCACATTTAGAGAAATGTTTGTGAACTTTGTCATATTTACTTTTGTGAATAAAAATGTAAGATAGTTTCATTGGCAAATATAAATGTTAAATATTATATCTAAATGTTAAATGTTATATATAAATGTTAAAAATACATGTCCTGATTCTAAATATTTAGCTACGTTTCTAAACATTTAGTTAGAATAAAAATGGCAGATCTGCGCAAAGGTTTTCTTCTTGCCATTTGTCTAGGTGTTCGTGGAGTCCATGGGTGGAGATACAAGGGGAAGGGTGGGGTATTTTTTCTCTGTGTTGTAAGACTTATACAGACAACAAACAATGGATGGATTTATTTCAAATTTTGTGGGTTGGTAGACACTCAGGTTACCCAAATAAATGTTCAAAAACACTGTACAAGTAGATTTCTCATAATATGTCCCCTTTTAAAGTTAACTTTGAAGAAGAAAACTGTTTGTTATTTTTACACTTGCCCCAAACCCTATAAATATCCATGCTATAGGCGAGTGTTTTTTTTCTGAAACTAAAAGCAGCAAAAATTTCTGCTGTCATGTTTTAATATTCAATATTCAATAAGATTTATTGCATAACAAATGTCTTTAAATCTTTAGTTTACTTAATAACAAGATAAAAATGTGTTGATAGTAGAGTAGAGGCAGATATTGATACTTTTTCACAGAGCAAGCCCCTCCAGCCAGCCCCGAACTAACATGTATCACTAAAACTAAGCATCTGCTAATAGCTTCATAATTTCATATTCAACGTTTCTCAGTTAAATAAGTGTAAGTAAGTAAGTGTAATGCTGACAAATATTTTTAGAAGAAAAAAGGACAGAATGCAGTGGAGGGTCAAGAAAAAAAGGAAGTTATGTTCAGTACCTTTAGGTTTGTTCTGCTTTTTTTTCTGAGCATAGACGACTGCCACTCCTACAGCCAACAGAATCAGCAGTGCAGAGAGCACACCGGCTATTATCGGCAAATATTCTAGCAGATTTAGTTATAAAAGAAAGAGCATATGAATCATTAAGTTAGCAATCACTAATGGTGTTTTTTTATGGAGAAAGACAAAGATTAAAATGACAACTACTTTGATGAGTCCACACTGGCGTAGTTTGTTTCCACTTACTGATGTACCATGGGTCTTCTTGGGTGTGGTTGGAGGGTGTGATATTAATAGAGGGTTTATTTGACACTGTGATGTCAGGCTCCTTACCCTCAGGTGTTGGTTGAGGACACAGTGTTTCATAAGCTGGAGGAAACCAATTTGATATGTACGTCCCATTGGATAAGGTGCACTGGAGAAATGTGAAGCCTATGGGAAAGAAACAGATCAGCGACTGATAAATGTTGAAATAACAGTTTGGGTCTTGTGTTTTCACTCACCACAGGTCTGCTTTTCTTTTCGGACAACACTGACATCATTTTTGACTGAGCAGACCAGTTCTCCTGACACGTCTTGTTTCACAGTGATATTCTGACTCTCACTATTTCCAGAGAGGAGCTGAGTTTGTGTCAGTGTTTGTCCACCCAGAGTCCATCTGTACTGAGGACTGTCCCCTCCCTCAGAGGAGCATGAGGCCTTCATCTCTCCCTGGGACAGACACTCAGAGACCAGCAGGACAGAGGACACAGGAGCTGAAGGAAACACACTCAGATTCATTTTTATTCATGGAAACAATTTTGTTATATAAAAGTTTCATAAACAGAACAGATAAAGAAACAGATATATGTAGAAGAAGAATATAAATGTATATCTAAATTATTTGATACCACAGTAGATTAAAAAACTACTTACCTTGAATGGTCAACTGTAGAGTGCGTTTCTCTTGATTTGTTCCACTGTCATCTTTATGGACTACAAGAGTATATTCACCACCATCATTCCTGCTCAGGTC